ACGAACCAAGAACCTTCGTCTCTTGAGTCGCACAAATTTATAGATTTTTTTACAGCAGTCGCCTCTCCATTGGTCTCTCATTGTCACCTGGTGACAATTCGAAACCTAATGGAGGGCGCGGGAGAGGTTAACATAGCGACTGAATATGATCCTCTCTCTCGTCGCGTTTTCCTCGAATTTCTCCGTTTCCATTGTTTAACTAATTTCCCGAAAAAAACCAATTGCATTGTTCAATCGAGACACCTAATCCGTTTCCTTATCGTCTGAAAAGGAGCTCTTTATTTTCGATCGAACCCATAATTCGGACCTCTCAGTCGACCACTGTTCGGGTCCTCACATTATTATTATTATTTCCTACAAAGAAAATCTGCTAAATTGAAGTAATTAAATAATGAATGAAAGACATGGTAATGATTATGATATAGATGATATTCTTAACTTATTTTAATAATGACTTATATTTCTTATTTGTAAAAGTCTATATATATTTTTAATTTATTTGTATTAAAAATTAATTAATTATTTTTTTAATAATAGGATTTTAACATAACATTTGCACAATCAAAAATACAAGTAAAACCAATTTAATTTAAAATTATTATCATCATTATAATTTTTAACTCTTCATGCCCATCATATGTTTAAATCAATAGGTTTAAATCAATTTCTCCATTTATCATCAATATAAATGGATAGATTGATTTAGACAAGATAAAGTATGTTTGAGGATCAAGTAAATCTCCTTCAGGAATATATAACGTATTTATAGAATATACAAATACAAATGTATTTTGTCACAAAAATCCATATTATGCTTTTATAAGCTTTAAGACTTAATAGTCTTAAAGCTCATGTGGATTTTTGTGATGTTCTATATTTTATGAAACAAGAACTTTTATGTTATATTGAAACTATTTGTATTTATTACTTGGTATGGATGAGGTCTTTCATATTTATAAAATGAGATTATTCTTTCTGTAATATAAATTAGTTATATTATAATGCTACATAATTTTGTATAATATTTAGTATTATTGACATTGTAACGTTTTCTTATTTATTTGAATAGTGGATTGCTTAGATCCCGATTGCTCAGGACATGGGACATGCATGAATGGCATGTGTTTTTGCAGAAAAGGATGGAAGGGTGCAGACTGCAGTGAAACTGATAGTGATACATTACGTTGTTTGCCAGACTGTTCTAGTCATGGTCATTTTGATGTGGAACTTCAACAATGTATTTGTGAAGAAAACTGGACTGGTCCAGATTGTTCTGAAGGTAAATTTAAAGTACTTGAAAATAAAATGATAAATTGGAAATTACTATGCTTTATGACCATGATCTGCTTTATGACCATATGCTTTATGACCAATATCTGAGTTTAAATTTAAGTTGTTATTAAACATAATTTAGCTTAAATTTCATAAGATCAAACTGAAAGATCATTAAAGAGAAGTACTTTTTACTTTATTGAGTTTGAATGCTTTTAAAAGTTTAATATTATTTGTGGAAAATTTATTATAACAATTTTGGTTCTAACGTAAACATCATATTACTAAACTGTAACAAATTAGAAGACCAAAAAACCAACAAAAAATTTTTGTTTTCTAAAAACATCTTTTCCACATCACAGAAATACACTGTTGAATTTATTTCAAGATTCTGATCATTAGAAAGACTTTTTAAATAGGTTTACATATTTTGCATGGGGAATACATACAATAAGGAAAAATTTAATTTCATTGTGATTAGTTGTATGCTCTTGTAGCTTATGGAAAGCACTTTTAAAGAAACTTTTTTCTTTTCTTTGGTATCTAAACATTTATTTTAGTAAAAGATGTTCTTCCAGGAAATTTTTGTAAACAATTTTTAGAATCAGCTGCTAAATCTGATTTGCTAAATAATAAATTTAATTAACATATCTGATTGTTAATTGTTAGAAAAATTTTCAATTACTTTAATAATGTTTTATTATTTTATCCCTTAATAATAATATAAAAATATTTACATACTGTAAATATTTTTATAAAATATCGATTTATGTCATTAAATTTATATTTCTATGAACTCATAGATATACATTGCTATGATAATATTAATATGAATATTTAAGAAAAAAATCTTTATATAATTGCAGAAAAATGTGATTTAAATTGTGGTATACATGGACGATGCCAAAATGGTTTATGTAACTGTTTAGAAGGTTGGAGTGGTCCAAATTGTAATGAGAAACTCTGTGATCCTCGCTGTGTGGAACATGGAGAATGCAAAAATGGGACATGTGTTTGTAACAAAGGTTGGAATGGACAACATTGTTCATTAGGTAATATATTCTAGCAATATTTAATAATTACTAAAATGTATAGAAATTACATTAAAATTGACTATAAGATTTAGTAATCTAAATCAAACTAAGTTTTGGTATTAAACTAAATTAATAACAAACTAAGTTTTAGTTTTATTATTTAATAAACTAAATTAAGTTAAGTTTATAAATGAAATAATATTGAATTTGATGCATAATGAAAAAACTAAGTAGAAATGATTTTTTAAAGTAGATAAAATATTCATAAAATGAAAGGAAACAGAATAAAATATAATTTAAATACATTTTGACTGTCAAAATGTATTTAAATTGTGAAACAATAATTCTTAATTTAAAGAAATGCTCATTCCCTGTTCATATACCTTATTTTAAAGGTCTAAAAATAATGAAATAATAATGTAATAAATATAAGATATATTCTAAGAAGATTTATTTTTATTTAAACTGTTTTAGTAGATTTTTTAAATGCATTCTGTATTTATTATATAGTTGTATTATAGAATAATTTACGGTTTTTATAAATTACAATTTTAATTCAAACTTTTCTATATATCAGGACATGTAGAGGATGTAAATTGTTAAACAATTTATATATTTTAAAAGTTCTGCTATATGGTACATGCTCTCATTTTTAAAATTAATTTATAGATTAAAACTAAATAATTATAAATATATTAATTCATTTAAAATTTTAATTTATTTCTTTAATTTAATTAACATTTAGACGGATGTCCACAAAATTGCAACAATCATGGTGAGTGTGTAATGGTTAATAAAATTTGGCGTTGTCGATGCGAATCGAATTGGGATGGTTCAGATTGCTCTATTCCATTGGAAAGAATCTGTGATGATCGTGTTGATAATGACAAAGGTAATAACTAATAATTTAAATTATATAATATTAAAAATCTTCTTTATTGCTGATCTCTTAAATTTGTTGTAACAGTAAGTGAGTTTTAATAAAGCATATTTTTGTTATTTTTAAAGAATTTAGAGTTGTTTTCATTATTTAAATTATATAATTATGCTTATAAATTTGGACGGTTTCAAATTTGATTGCTATTTTTAAGAATAATTCAATTTCTTTTACGTTATAAGTAATATCAAGAAAGCAGATAATTATTTATCATTATTGTTTAAAAAATTTGTTTTCAACTGAACATTTTTACATTCTATTTTTCAAATATTTTGAATTCCAGAATATTGGAATTTCTCCATAATAACTGATTGATAATATGCAAAACTTAAACATTATTATCTATATAATTACAACTTTAATCAATTGACTAATTAGCTAAATTTAATACAATAAATAAATATCTAATTAATGAAATAATTAAAGTAATTTTATTAAGAGCTTAACCAAATAATTTGATTACAATTAATTTATATTCAAGACACACACTAAGCTTTGTTCATTGGGCTACAATTTGAAAAATTGTAGACCTATAAATTTCCACTGTAGTTTATCTGTTGTCTGTCCTTGTTATGTAGATGAAGTCAAGCCAGTTATAAAAAGATTAAGGGCAGAAGGCCCTGATTAACTGTATATAACTGTATAAAACTGCCAGTATAGACTGGAAGTCACATTATTTAATTTCAAAAAGTTTTCCCAGAACACAATTAGATGACCAGCATGATTTGGTTGTTATCAGCTAAAGTATGATATACGAAAGCAAGGTTCTACTAAAATGGAGAGAACATATATTTAAAATAATATAATTAAAAGTTGCAGCCTGCATTGTGATGGTGTCACAATAAATAAATGCTCATTCATATTGGCCTCTTGCATAAATCATAATTCTTAAAAAAAATAATGTCATTTCTTTATATTTATATCATGCAACTAAACAAATATTTTAAGAAATATTTAAAATTATCTTCTTTAAACTTAGCTAGTATTTTACTGCCAGTAGTGAATTTGCATCTGTTTTGTTTATTATCTCTGTTTTTAAATTCTTTTTCCACAGCTATATTTATTCTTGTTGTTTATTCTTTCATGCTCTTAATGTTCTTAAAATCTCTTTCCTCTTTTAATTTTATGAATATTACTATACTTAGTAAATAAGTTTTATTAATATACTTGTTGTTAATGTGTTTTAAATAAATAAAAAAGTAAAATAAAGTTATTTTGAATATCTTTCATTTGAAATGTTTTTAAGATGGATTAATTGATTGTGCTGATACTGAATGCTGTTCAACTCGAGCATGTGAAAACAATCCATTGTGTTTTGCTGCTGCTGATCCATTGGATATTTTACTGAGAAAGCAACCACCAGCTGTCACAGCATCATTTTTTCAGAGAATGCAGTTTCTTATTGAAGAAGATTCTGTACAGAGTTATGTTAATAAAAATTCTTTTAATGATAGGTAATTATGGTTTTACATGTATATACTATTAAAATTTACAATTAAAAAGAAATTAAGATTTTTTTGTTTTCAGTACTATTCATCAGTGTTTATGATGATTTGAGGTTGATTTATATATATAAAAAGATGCTTATTGTTTGTGTTTCAAAAAATAAGTAATAATACTAATGATTAAATATGTTTTATATAATCTTTGCTCAAAAATTAGAAATGTAATAGAATTAAAAAATATAATAACTGTAATTAAAAATTTTTTTGTCAGTTTTTTCCTTTGTAGAAGCAAATGAAAGAAAACAGTGTATATTATAAGAATCATTTTTAGTGATATTTTAAATGAATAATTAAGTTTGAATTTTATGATATAATTATTTCAAAAGTTTAATACTTCTGCTATCTTTTTCATTTTCATGTCTAATATCTTCCTGCTGATCTTCAGAATTTTTATCTAAAAAATAATAAATGAATAAATAATATGGCTAACTATTATTAATAATAATGTAATTTCTGTTATAAAGTTATTCTATGAATATATACCAATTTTACAAATAATTTTCACTTGAGTCTTTTACTTTTAACATGTAACTAATATTTCTTTCTTGCTTATAATAATGCAGCATGTTTTGGAATCATTTTAATGCAAGGTAAGTAAAACTTTATAAAAAGTCTAATTATCATCTCTTTGCATCATTATTTTTAATTTATCTTTTATGAGTTAAATTTATTTCAACAGTTAAAAAATGAAAGATTTTAATATTATTTGGGAAATTTCACTTATTTATTGATAAAATTAAAAATAATATGCAAAAAATTAATTTAAAGAAAGATTACAATTATAAATTGATAGGGGATGTTTAATTCCGAAATCTTAAGTTATCAATTACAAAACAATATTGTTTTCTTTCATTTTTAATCGCTGAACCTAGTTTTGTTATGAAGATTTATGCTGAGTATTTTTTTTTTTTTTTTTTATTAAACTCGTTCAGAAGCAGTTATTTTATTTTTTTTATATACATTTGTGGTGTCTTGGGTGTCAAAACAATCTAGACATTTTTATCGGGTAGGAATAATGAGGACTTAACAAAGTGTTGACACAAAAATTACAAATTTTATTAAAATAACAAAAAACATATATAAAAAAATATATGGGGAGACAAAGGAAAACGCAAACTTAACCTAATCAGATACAAAGATATTTACAGACGATATTTACAGATGATGTTCCTATGTGTGTACCATGTTCACACATTCAATCTCACAATGGTTCACCTCACTAACAAGGTGCATCAATGTGTGTTGAAAGGGTTTCCATAAACAAAATAATTATGATGGTTGGAAAAATATGTATTCTACCATGTGGTGCTCTGTTGTATAGGCATATGCAATGTCTTTACATTTATGGAGATGGATTCCTTCTTCTTGACCTCACTGATTCGCTGCTTGTCTTCCGTGCTATGAGCGATCCCTTACTTTCTCTCTTTCACTCGATCAGTCCTTATGAGTCCAGTCCAGGCGAATATCCCAAGGAAAATGTGTAACATCGAACAGGCATGATACACACTATTTAAAAGCTCCCACCATCCAGGAACTTAACTACACACGTGACTTCATTGAATACCCAATAACCAATTACAGGTCTCACCCATCAAATGGTGGTACGTGACATACAATGCCTTCCGAGGGTGGTTTTTTTTAATACCAAACAGAAATCATTCCGTTTTCTCAATTTACAATACAAAACTAATTAATAACTAATATTAATACACCAATTTGAACACAAGTTTACAATAAATACAATTTGTGACCATTCACTACACATTATTTACATCTTAAAAAATTTATATAAGAATCTAAATCATACTAAGTACTCAACAGATCTATTTACAAATAGAAAGATTCTTGCTTCTATCAGTATAGAAGGTGTTTTAATAGAAGAGATGAGAACACTTAAAGTATCCTTGGCTGAAATATTATTTCGTTCTCATGAATTCTCATTTTTTGTTCAAGATTTTTGGTCACTTTCACAATAAGGAAACTATGCGCAAAATGCACTTCAATCTCAGCATCTCACTTTTACTTCTAATCTTAAATCTTTTGCAAACCAAACCAATAATTTCTGAACTAGTTTCAAAAACTTTTTATCAAGTTGGTCATGTAATCCTAATTTAGATGTTGTTAATCATTTGAAAAATTGAATAATTAGCATTATTATTTTAAATGTACATAAAAGCTGCTAAGATGCTGATAAAGAGACTGCCAGTTTAAAACTGAAGTCTTTTAATTAAATGTAATGATAAAAATCTGATACAGGATTTACAGTGAATTTTATATTGCATGTTACTTTACCTGTTGCATCCAAATATTATATTTATCTTTTATAGAATATTGAAAGAAGATATGAGAATAGCAAATAGTTCTCTGCATGCAAAATACACATATAAAATGTAGAAATTAATATATATTTTATACATTTATTATACCTATTAACTTTTCTTGATAGCTAAATAAGTTTATTGGTCAGTACTTTCTGTTTAACTTCATTTTATTAGATGAAATTTATTAACTTATAGCACATATGTTCTTATCAACTTCTTACACAGTTTGTTGTATGTTAATTTGAAGTCATTTAGAAATTTTTGAAAAATTGAACATTATTAAAGTTTAATTCTAATGATTTCAATATAATAAATTATTTTCAAATTAAACATAAATTTGATTTTTTTCAATATTTTTAATAAATACAAGGAATATGATAATAATACAATATCAATAAATCAAAAAGCATAAATTTAAAAAGAATTTCAATCATTTTGATATTATGATTGACAAATTATTTTTTTCAAAATATTTATAAGACATATTTTACCTATTTGTTAGATTGACATAACAATTCTAAATTCCATTGTAAAATTTTAAAAATATTCCATAAACTAAAATTTTCTTTATAGTCGAGCATCTGTAATTCGTGGTCAAGTTGTCAGTCCTCTTGGAAATGGCTTGATGGGAATTAGAGTAGGAATGGCCACTGATCCTCTATTTGGCTTTACTGTTACAAGAGATACAGGCTGGTAAGTTCTTTATGCATTCTCATTGGATTAAATTTATCTATTAATGAAATTAATATGGAAATAACAAAAGATTTAATAATATAGTAATTGAGTCAGTTTATAATTCTATACTTTCTCTGTATTATATAAAATCAAATATGAAACAATTGAGGTAATGCAATTAACCAGCTTAAGTTAATGATGATGCATTTTGATTGATAAATTTCAATGTTAAAATACATGTTTTAGTCTATATTTAATTCTGTTTAGTCTCATACTCTAATATTTTGATGATTTGTCTGAATTCAGATGGATTAGAACATATATGTTAAACAACTACTGACATGTCTAAGAAAATGTTTGAATCCACACATACTCACAATTGCAGCCATTGCTAGGGATGAAGTTTGGCTTGAAAAATGCTGTATTATATTTTAAACAACAAAAGACTTTATAAATACAGATTAAAATGTCAGATACTTGATATTTATATAAAACATGCATTTCAAGTATTAAGGCATTTATTTTCTATATACTTTTAGTACAGTTTAATAATTTTCTAATTAGTATTATCTTTATGCATAACTATCAAAATATTTTCCCAGACTGAGCCAGTAGAAGCAATGTGAAATAAATTTTTCTTTTTTCCTGAAAGATACACAAGTACAGTGGTACTACCTCAGGATACGAAATTAATCCGTATCCTGAGGTACCATCCTGAGGTAATCGTATGGGAAAAGATGATCTACCTTACGACATGAAAATGTCGTAAGGTGGATCATCTTTTCCCATACGATTACATGTAAAACCAAATAATTCGTTCCAATGCGAAAAACATACTCAAATTAAAGCCAAGTAATACATTAAAAAAAATAACTGTAGTAAGAAAAACAAATGAAAAATGCAAACTAATGTAACGTCGTATGGTGAGTTTTTGTTCGTATCGTGGAGCAAAAATATGTTCGAATTTCATGTCGTATCCTGAAAATTTCGTATGCTGGGGCATTCGTAACCTGAGGTACCACTGTATTTAATAAGTTATAAGTAGAATGATTCTAAAATAGACTACATCTTTTTATCTTTAAATATTTTAATATATTTATTTACACTATAATAAAGTTTGATTTCTTTTTTCTTTTTTTTTCAAATATATCAATGAAGGTTTGATTTGATGGTAAACGGAGGTGGGGCAGTGACACTTCAGTTTCAAAGAGAACCCTTTAAACCACATGAAAGAACTGTTATAGTTCCTTGGAATGAAATTGTAGTCATGGACAAAGTAGTAATGACTATTAGTGAAGAAAAGCATCCAGAATATAAATCTACAGTTTGTTTTGATCATAATTATGATACTATGAAACCTGTTGTTTTAGCAACTTGGAAACATGGATTTCAAGGTGGATGTCCAGAAAAAAGTTCCATATTATCTGAATCTCAAGTGAGTATTTTTTTCTTGATTAACATTTTATTTTCTCTTATTAACATGGTATAGGAGTGTGAGTTGGTATGGGATTCTTTTTCTTTTTGTATAAAAAACATTTCTTTATTAATAAATAGCAATGATAAAGATTTTAAAGATAAAAATAACATTAATTTATAGGAATAGGAACCTTTCAGGGCTGGGAAAAATCTCCAGCTTCCTCTTGATGGCTCTGCACATTAGTTGTAAAAAATTGTTTTCTGTTTTTTTTCTTTTTTCAAAGATTTTTCCATTTGTAGTTTAAAAGTGCAATCCATGTCTGAAAAACCTCAGGACTATATATATATTTTTCATTAACAGATCTTATCTGGTATTTGGAATATTCTGAAATTTTTATAACGTTATACTAAATTCCAAATAAAAGTTTTATGCAGAGAAGAGTGTAAAAGGAAAGATCAATCTCATCAATATTTAGTTGTATATTTTTGTACTATGGGAAAGAACGTCTTTAAAACACATCAATTACAGCTTTAAAAATTCTTTTAAAATTTTTTATCCTTTTTCCTGAAGATAAATTATTTTTCCATTATTTATGAACATGTACAAGTAGTGACTATTTACTGTCAATGAAGCATTTTAAAAATTACAAATTTAGAAGTATCAATTTTAGAAAGTAGTAGTTCTAAATTATGAAGTTCTAGATTTGTTTAATAATTTAGGACTTTATATGATTACCACATAATGCCATTATCTGGTTCAAAATCAACTAATATTGATATATTTTTGTGTATATTGGGTAATATTGGTGCAAATATGTTAATATTATAAAATGCCACCATAACTTTTTTTTTATAAATCATCCTAGAAAAAATATTAGCAATATTTTATATTGACACTAGTTAAAATATAAGTTACTGTATCCCAGAAAAAGTATTTTCAACTCTTCATTAATCAATGTTATTTTATTAAATATTTTTGTTAATAATTGTTAAATAGTGCATCATTATGCCTCCTGTGTATTCCTCTCTCTTTACTGACTAGGCTATTCTTGGAAAAAAATAGATTAAACATAGATTAAAGTATCTGTTTAATCTATTTTTCCTCTTATCCCTTTCTTTCCTTCTAGTCTGAACCTCTGTGTAGACCTTTGTCTTTCTTCAATATCAATACTCTGTCCTTATCCTCAAAATTTATGTTGTAAAAGAAAAAGCAATAAGGAAAACAAAGAAGTTACAATTAAGCCAAATGTATTTTATGAAAAAATAATATTCAGCTAATTTGGTAATTGATAGCAATTAAATCTCTGAAACTAATTCTTTCTTAGATGTTACAATAAAAAGTTTTTACATAGAACTTAATAAAGTATATGTATTGTAATAGCTTCAATCAGCTTTTTTATTGTTTTTAAATCATAAAGTCAAAGAAAAGTTTTTGTAGTTAGGTACTGTAGAATGGAAATATATGAAATGTTGCTGTAAATATATGAACTATTGATGCTTTTTTTTCAAATATTTACTGATTTTAAATTTGTTTGACTTTGTTTGATAACATTGAATATCAGAAAAAAAATTGCACAATTCTGCAGAACTTGGTTTCTAATATCCAGCCAAAAACTACAGCAAAGCAAGATATGCTTTTTTTTTAAAAAATAATTAAAGAAACTAAAATGTTTCCACTTTTATGCACTGTACAGGTTGCACTTAATCCAAACTAATTGAGACCAATGATAGTTCAGATTAATGAAAAATTTGGATTAACAAGGGTATAATAATAAAGATATGATGCTTACATTTTCAGGCCATTTTTTACTATTGTAAGATACTTTAAAGCAGCAAATGGAGGTTAGAATTGTTGTCAAGCCAAATAGGGTTACAGAAAGAATAGCAGCAATGCTCACATGTGACTTGCATTTACTTTACATGTGACATCATTGTAGTTAGAGGAATGGTAGAAGTTGCTTGGATTATGAGGAGTTCAGATTAGCTTGACAGTACCTTATTATCTAAAAAACTCTGTTACAGCTTAACAACTAATTAATGTAGCTGAATGCTGTAATGGAATTAATATTTCTAGATAATGTCACCAATTTACAGTATATGAAATATCATTAGTAGAAAAAAATGTTCAGTTTTTTAGAAAAACTTATAAAATCTCTTTTTGTTTGGTAATTTGAAGCAACGCCAGGAAAACAAACATACATTGGGCACAACATATCATCATAATTATGAATTGCAATAGATGGAAAATGCTTTAGGTGCTGTTCTTCTCAATGACCATTTGTCATTTCAGCAGGTAGCAGATTAATATGATGTGCCAAAACTAACATTGTATAAAAAATATCAAGGTGACACACAGTGATCATTTAGGTAGATCTCTGGCATTTCTATAACAATGTTTTTTTTTTTTGGAAATCATTTCATAAAGATTACACTCATGGTCATTTAACATATCTCCACATATTGGGTTACATGAAACTGTGATTTACATTAAAAAAACACATTCAAGAATTATTTTTTCATGTTTTTTCTAGCAAAACTTTTCCTTTTAGTATACTAATAATAAAACACACCTTTAATAATCCAGCTAATAAAAATTAATAATATAATAACGTTTTCAACCGTTTCTTAACGATCTTCTCCAGTTCGTTTGTTATATAAGTATCCTTTTAGTATAGCTTTACCATTTCCATTATTAGGTTTGATGTCATTATTGTGGTAAAATTATAAAACTAAAAAATGTTAAAAAATTATTTCCAGTATTTAAAAATTTTTAATTGATTGATCAATAGAATATCATTATGAAATTTGAGAATTTTGTGTCATTTTAGTTATGTAAATGACAAAATATATAATTATAATTTAAATAAATAATACACTAAATTATAATAGCAAATTAATTATTTTTATATAAAATTATTGATTTGTTAATGATTGTTTATTTCTATTTTGATCTCTACTTAAAAGATATGTACAGCGTACAACTTTGGTAATAAAGATAATATATTATCTTGAATTCAAAGATTTTCTTAGGATCTTTTATTGCATTAATTGATTATTTTAGCAATTTATTAAATCAGCTAATAATTATTGAAATTTCTACTTTAATTTTTAGAAACTAGAAAAGTTTCTCAAATATTAATAATTTGATTCATTTCCTGGTTGTTTTTCATATTTTCTTAACTGATTTGTATTTGTTATTCTAATGAAAATTCTCAATTTTATTTCTATTTTATTAATTGTTTATAGGTTATACAAGAAAGTCTTCCCATTCCTGGAACAAAACTTCATCTTGTATATCACAGCAGTAGAGTGGGAGGTTATCTGTCTACCATTCAACTGCAGCTTACACCTGACATTATTCCTCCATCTCTTCGTCTTATATATCTTCGTATTTCTATTGAAGGAATATTGTTTGAAAGAAAATTTGAGGCTGATCCAGGAATTAAATATACATATGCATGGAACAGAAGAAATATTTATAGACAGAAGGTTTATGGAGTTGCTACAGCAATTGGTAATTTTCACTTTCTGTTTTAAACTATTAACTAAATCAGTTATTAAAGTCATATGGTTTGAAATTCAAACTTTTAACTTACCTTTTATATATTTTGTTTCTAAAATATTACTGGTTAATAGCTTTTAATCTATATTTTTCTGATTTGAAGTTGCAGCACAAAAATCTAGAAAGCATTTTGTACATTTTTTCAAGATTTGATAGTTATATATTTAATTAAATTTCTTATAATTAACTGTAATTATTATGAAATGTTTTCTGCATGATATTTTGTGAATGCATATTTTTTCATAAATTAAAATACTTAATTATTTCAGTTTATGTTGGATATGAATATAGCACTTGCCCTCATGTTATCTGGGAAGTTCAGACAACTCAAGTGAGTGGTCATGACATGAGTATTTCAGAAATTGGAGGATGGAATTTGGACATACACCATCAATATAATTACCATGAAGGTGAATATGTAATTAAGTTATACAGTTATTATTTATAGATGGAGTTCTATTATTTTAAATAAAATAATATTTAAAATGTTCCATTTGAACATCAAAATTTACTAAAGTTCAAATTTTGTGGGAGACAAATAAACCATAACAGAAACAAAATTAAATGCATATTGAAGGTAATTAAGGTTCCTTAATGGATGTGTCTGTCTCATCAGAATATTTTTAAAACACTGAATGTATAATTATTTAAATGGAAGCATCCATATTTCAGACAATTCTTCATTTCTGCTGTTTTAACATTCTTACAGATTCTTTATTTTCTAATCTGATATACATCAAATTCATAAAGTAAAGAATCTGTAAGAATATTAAAATAGCAGAAATGAAGAATTGTCTGAAGTATGGATCAAAAAGTCAATTTGTTCTTCTCAAACTTAATTTATTTATCAAACTGCTACATATTATCCATGGTTTTATGACCTTGTTTATAGATTTTGAAGAAATTCTTGTATTTTTAAGAAATACTCTTCATAGAGATAGCTCATTTTCTTTGTTTTGATATTCAAAACATTTTGAAGCATTTGAAATAATTAATAGTCTGAAAGTGTTAAATTGAGAGTGAATATTATATTAGTACTTTCCAGTGCAATTTATTCAAGTTTTTATGCCTTATCATGTATGAAAAACATCTTTTGTAGTTTACAGTATTAAATACATTTTCTTGATGGTATCACATTTTAGGTTTTATATGTTATTTTGTATATATAATTTAATAAGTTAATTTTGAGTCTGAAAATACTCAAAAATTTTTCCCATATAAATTAATGGTAATTGCTTTTTTGCTTTATGCCATTACAACTTACAAAAGGTTTCACAGGAACACATTACTTTTTGATACACGAAGAACCTGCATTTTGTGATCAACCTAGTGTAGCCAAGTAATAAATAACAGAATCTGGGGAAACGTTCAGCATTGATAAATAAGCTTAATTTTCACAAAAATAACTAAAGTTCCGAAAAAGCAATCATTTGAACAATGAAATTTACAAGATTAATTGGGACCGGTCGTAACAAATACAACGGATGGGTCCCTAATTACCGACAAACAAAGAATCTATTCTATCTTAGGTCCAATTTAACTAATTTTTACAAATAACTGGGTCCAAAAGTAAAAGGGATGATGTTAAGAATCATAGGATTATAAAAGTATTTATAGAAGGAGAAGGTTCAAAGGGATGACTGGCAATGAAATAAAGAAAAGCCTTAGATTGTTTTGTCATATGGGTCTTCCTTCTGTACGCGTAGACATGTACGTCTCCTTCTTGCTCTCTCCCGAAAATATCTTCTTTGTTCTGTTCAAATCTCCTTCCATCCTCTGCCAGTATCCCCACAACAGATTGGGTGTCACCCCTTTTGTTTTATAACAGATCAGACCACATGGGTTAACTAACTACAGTGTGGTTAGGGAAACAGAAGCTGGAAGTACAGTTTTACCACAGGAAGATGGTATAAGGAAAATAAAGAAAAGTAAATAAACAAGGCTTAATAAAGCCACACTAGTAAATGAATCTCTAAATTCTTTTAATATTTGAACCTTGTTCTATTTTAAAGTTCCATTTCTTTCTTAGATATCAAAATAATCTAAACATTAGATTGTCTAACTGTAAATCTCTAATTGCATATTGCTTTCTGTACAATCAGAAATTCACACACAAATTCAATTCACAAAACTGCCTTAATAACAATGTTGACATTGCTTTTTCTTTTTTTACATTTAATGGTAAAGAATATATTCAACAAAGTAGCCTCCTTTGTGAAATTTTTAATATAAACACGATAATAGAATAAATAATTATTAATATTAAATTGTTTACAAATAATAATTTATTTTCCTATAGGTATTCTACAGAAAGGAGATGGAACAAATATATATCTAAAAAATAAACCAAAAGTTTTATTAACTGCTATGGGTGATGGTCATCAAAGACCAATGCACTGTCATCATTGTAATGGAATAGCAAAACAACAACGTCTGTTAGCTCCAGTTGCTCTAACAAATGCTCCAGATGGCAGTATTTATGTTGGTGATTTTAATTTAATTAGAAGAATTACACCTGATGGAATGATTACAACAATTGTTGAATTAAGGTAATGTTAAGATGATATTAATATATTTCAAATTTATGTAGTTAGGTACTGTACATATAAATTAAGCAATATGAATTTGGAAATGAGTATAGATATTTGAAAATCAAACAAACCAAATAAAAGATTATTTGTGTTATATTCCAATTTAACTACAGTCGACCCCCGTATAAGATCATTGATTATTCCGTTTTATATGAATTCCATGTTGTACAAGTCACTTAAATTTTACAAATACGTGAGCCGTTCACAGCCCTGTACATGTATTTGTAAAATCTAAGTGACTCGTACAACATGGAATTCATATAAAACGGAATAATCAATGATCTTATATGGGGGTCGACTGTATTCAGTTGTTGAAACTTTTTAGTTAAAGCCTTTAATCTCAAGAATATTTGTTAAAATTGATAACAAGAAATATGTTATTTTCCTAACATCACTGCCATAAATGCAGGCCTGTCTTTGGTACATGTGAGACCCCGGGTCAAGAAAAGCTTGGAGACTCCCTTAAGGAATTCGTACTGGAGGGTTAATGTTCATAAATTTTTTCAATTAGCTTTCTCTGCTAAACATATTGTTATATTTATGTTTAATAAAATTTATCAAATATATCTTTTGATTGTTTACTGTTTATAATAATTTCATTACTTGTTGCTCTATTCAATTTTGCATACTTTTGAGGTCTTGAATGTTAGGAGATCACTGGGTCCAGGCCCAGTAGGCCCACACCTAAAGATGGGCCTGCATAAATGCATTTTAGTTTTTTTTCATTAGTATAGTATTTACTATGATTAGGAAAACTGAAACATGACGGACTATATGACAGATACTGTGAAATAAAAATTGATAACATTCATCTAAAAATGCATGTCTTACTATTATTCTTGTAAGTCCTATCATTTTGTATTTTTGATTATTTGTTATATAACTATAATATAACAACTAATGAATAAATCTGTTAGGAAGCCTAGTTGAAACTATTTATAATAACTACTTATTGTAAGAGCAATTTTTGAATACAGAATGGGTATTTGTAATATAGAGAATACACCAATGAAGAAATGCGTGTAAATTTTTTTTTAATATTAAGAAAAGTTGGATATACAAGTTTATCAACTTGCATCAAAACTTTCAGAATGAATTAACTGCCTATAACACATGATGCCTAAATGCAATGTATTTTTCATATATATTCATTTCAAAACATTATTAAAGCTAAATTCCACTTATTGAAATAAAGCTTTGATAAAATAAAAACATTATAACAGTGGCATGTGGTTACATTTGATGATAGGGAAGCTCTGTCAGCCCTGGATAGAATCATTGGAAGCATTATACGATATTTTGGTGTGTAGCATTCACGAGCTAAACTGTGTGAGGTTGGTGCTCTGTAAAGTGCATGTAATCGGGCTGCTTTACACAATTCAAATATTTTCACCATGGAAGCTGTCCTGTATTCAACAATACAGCACTTCCATTGGGAATATGTATATACAAATTTATATTCAAATATACAATAGCAATCTTATTATTTTTTCACATGTAGTATGGAAATTTGTAATAAAATACATAATGCAGTTATAATAAAATATTAATTTTAAGTAATTCAAAGTACATTAAAATATGAAAATAATTGCACAATATGTATTTATATTTTAGAAAATACAAGGGAAGCCACACTTCCACAGACATGTTGAAGCTATGAAGCTTCAACTTGTCAGTATTCCACAGACAAGTTGAAGCTATGAAGCTTCAACTTGTCTATCTATTTGAATATAAATCATAATTCCTTTTAACAAATTAATTCAAAATACAACTGTGTGGCAAAAGACCAAATATGATTGAATCAAGAAAACAACCATTAAAGGCATAATATAGCATAATAGAAATCAACAGAAAAAATTGTTAATGTAGATTCATGAATGATTATATAAAAAATTTATGCTTCGAAACATTTCATTTATTTAAAAATTTTATATTTATATGCAAAAATATCATTAATGTTATAAATTTAGTTGAACAATTGTCTTTTTGCATAAAAATTACATTTATTTACAAAGAATAACTTTTATAGAATAATGCTAAAGCTAGATTCAAAGAATAATGCTAGCACTTTTGATGGTGCATTACTGTTGAAAGTGCTAGCATTGTTATCAAGTGGCTTTTGAATTTGATAACTCATTAATAATAATTTTTCTTTGAAAAAATTTAAGTTTTGGAATATATAAAATTTTCAAATTTAAAAATTGTATTTATCAAAAAGATACAACTTTTTATATATAATAATAACACTGTTTCTTTGCAGTGCAGCTCAAGTTGCTTATCGTTACCATTTAGCAGTTGGACCAGCAGATAGTAAATTATACATATCAGATCCTGAAAGACACCAGATTTTCCGAGTTATTAATTTAAATGATATAGTTGATATAAAAAATAATATTGAGGTAGTAGTTGGAAGTGGTAGTAAATGTCTACCAGGGGATAAGCTTTTATGTGGAGATGGTAGAACAGCAAGAGATGCTAAATTGGCATATCCAAAAGGTAAGTTTTTATGTTATATGATAATGATGGTAAAAGATCAACAAAATTGATTCAAAACTGACTTTTTTTTAAACATCGTTTTTCTCTTTGATCAATATAGTTAATAAATTTCTTTATTAATCTGTAAGTGCAGGATATATCTTCAACAGTTTATCAAGATAAATTTTAATGGCAAATTTTATTATTTCTGATTTTAAAAAGATAAATTTTAAAGATGAAAAATAACTTAATTGATAATATTTTTGGGCTTAAACAAGTCAGAAAAATAACATTATACATATTGTCACAAAGTATATACAAGTGATCCTCGACTTTCGCACATAATTGGTTCCTGAAAGAGTGTGCAAATGTTGAGTGTTCGAAAGTAGAGGGGTGTAAAAAAATATGCACCAAAAACTGTTTTAAAGTATTTATTTATCAATATGTATACATAATGAAGTTAACAAGGTGTGTTTAAGTGCTTTCAAGTGTTTTCTTTATAAACTTGTCAAGAGTTAGTTGAATACCACCCTTTTCTTTCTTATCTTGATAAAGATTTCTATAACATGCTGTGTCTTTCTCAATCACCCTACATACTTGAGATATATGTTCTCCATTGGGATCACATTCTTCTATGATAGTAAAAAATTTGTCAAGATGTATGAAGGCTTCATTCATATTTTTAATTGTCAAAGTCTTGACATTTTTATCAGCTTCTTCTTCCTCACTTTCATTGTGTATTTCATTGTTGCTCAATTAAGTATTCATTTGGCAGAGGTTCTGAGTGAGATTCAATCAACTCATTAACATCTTCATTGATGACGTCCAAGTTTAGTTCATTCATTAGGCTAACTATTTCATCTGTGATAGTTTCCAGTGTTTCTTCAAAATTTATAAAATCACTTATCATTTGTGGGCATAATTATTTCCAGGAACCTTTCATTGTTGACTCTTTTATTTCAGCCCACAAGTCTCCAATATTGTTTATTGCATTCCATATATTATAGTTCTTCCAAAAATCTGTTAATGTTGGCCTCTATCTTTCCTGTCAGTTGTCTTGATGGCCTTAGTCATTATTGTCCTCATATAACATTGTTTAAATGTAGCTATCACTGTTTGGTCCGTGGGCTGTATAAGGCAGGTAGTATTGGGAGAAAGAAACACAACATTGATTTTCGGGTATAAATTCTGCAGAGATTTTGGGTGTTCTGGATCATTGTTTAAGATTAAAAATGCTTTAAATTGTAAATTATTATTTTTACAATATTGCTTAACTGTTGGCACAAAATGAAAAGTGAACCAATCTTTAAATATTAACACAGTAACCCAGTCATTTTTATATATATAGGGTTGGCAACTAAGTGATTGCAGATTTTAAATAAGAAGGAAAATTAAAAATTTTTGCTTAAAAATATAACTTTATTCAATTAGGTATTGTCCATTTTTGTCAATGACCTCTTGCCATCTTTCAGGCAGTGTCATAATTCCATGTTCATAAAACTTCTGATTTTTGCCAGCAAAAAACTGAATTAAATGTGTTTTTACATCATCAGCTTCATTAAAAATTTTACCATTTAAGAAGTTCTGCATGGAACGAAATAAATGGTAATCTGAAGGCGCAAGGTGGATGTGATGACACATCCCAACCTAGCTCCAATAATTTTTGGCAAGTGACCAAAGATGTGTGGGGCTTTGCATTATCATGCTGGAAAACAACACCCTTACGATTTGCCAATTCTGGCCGCTTTTCTTGAACTGCAACACTTAGTTTGGCAAGTTGTTGAACATACACATTTGAATTAATGGTTTGGTTTCTTGGTAAAAGTTCAAAGTATAGAATTCCTTTATAATCCCACCAAACTGACAGCATAATTTTTTTTTGGTGAATCTCAGCTTTTGGTGTCATCTGGGCCGGTTCATCTCGCATCACCCACAATCTTTTCCAATTAACGTTGCTATAAACTATCCACTTTTCGTCGCCAGTAATCAGTCGTTTCAGAAATGGATCAATCTCGTTGCGTTTCAGAAGAGATTCACAGATGCTAATGTGTTGAGTCAAATGAATTTCCTTAAGCTGATGAAGGACCCATAAATCCAGTTTCTGGACATAGCCAAGTTGTTTTAATTTTTTTGAATGCATGTATGTGATACATTGAGCTTCTGTGCAATCTCACGCGTTGTGCTATGACGATCTGAATCGATAATGGCCTTGATATGGGTCTCATCAACTTCAACTGGACGGCCAGATCGTTGAGCATTTTTCAGCGAAAAATCACCAGAACAAAATTTGGCAAACCAATTTTGACACTGCCTTTCTTTTAAGGCTTCATTCCCATATACGGCACATAACTTCTTGTGTGCTTATGATGCGTTCTTGCCTTTTCGGAAATAATACAATAAAATATGTCTGAAATGCACGTCTTATTCTTCCAATTTTAAATTGGAATAAAAATGAAACTAAGTAACTAATTGATACAATTTTTTTCCTAAATTAAAGGTGGAAGTCCAAACAATAAGAAAACAATATAGGTTAAATGCTTTGAACACGATGACAAAGCAAAAAAATGTGCTAAGGCCACCTATTGACAAAATCCACAATCACTTAGTTGCCAACCCTATAATTTCCAAATGACTGGAAGCAATTCTTTATCTTTCCCTTTCAATGTTCTGGGATTTTCCACATGGTAAATTAACAATGGCTTCAATTTTAAATCACCACTTAAATTTCCACCAAGAAGCAATGTCAATGTCAATCAGTTTTTGGAAGGTTTATGTCCAGGGGCAACTGATTCTTCCTTCAATAAAAATGTACGATTAGGCATTTTTTTCCAAAATAAATCCATCTCATCTACATTGAATATTTGGCTAGGAGAATATTCTCCATCTACAATACTTTTGGACAATGAGGAAATAAATTCTTTTACAGCATCTTTATCTGCATCAGATGATTCTCCAGTGAATTTAATATTATGTAAAGAATATCTCATTTTAAATTTTAAATTTGTTGAACCAGCCATTACTTGCTTGAGACACCTTGTTAGAATGTTAGAATCTTCATATAATCTATAGCCTTCCAATCTTCATGCAAACTAAGAGCATTAGCTTGAATAATTGAAAAACTCATAGGGACATTATTTTGATGGTCAACATCAAAATAATGTCCCTATGAGTTTTTCAAAATGGTTTTGTCATCATGGTTTTGATCAAAATAATGATGATCAACATCATCATTATTTTGATCAAATCCATGATGACAAAAATCCTTCCATTTCTCAACTATACAGCTTTCACTAACGTTTTTGAACTAACAGTTCTTCGGGTGAAAAATGGACAAAATGGAAGAGCTACTGCACTTTGTAGTGTATGAGCATTCTGCATGGAAGCAAATTTTTTCATTATCGACATAAATATTTAAAAAGTTGAATTTTTAAAAATGTGTGAAATAGCGAATTGTGCAAAAGTAGAATGTGTGAAAATTGAGGGTCTCCTGTAATGGAAATGTTAAAAAATTTAAAATTAATGAATCAAATTATGAATATATGAAATATTTTGTTTTTATAAATTTTAATGATATTTAAAATTATGAAAAAATAATATACAATTTTAAAAAATATTAACTAACTTTTAAAAATTAAATTTATAGGTATGGCCATTTCGGCTCATAATGAAATTTTTATTGCTGATGGCACTAATATCCGAATGGTGGATCGTAATGGAATTATTCATACCATAGTTGGCGATCATTATCATAAGAGCCATTGGAAACCATTTCCTTGTGGAAAAACTATAACACTAAGTCAGGTAATCATGATATTGGGCTTAATTTTTTTCTTTAGCATATTTTTAAACTTCTAGATGCATTTTGTATCAGTGGCATGTGATGACATTTGATGATAGGGAAGCTGTGCCAAACCTAGATAGAATCATTGGAAGTTTTGGTGTGTAGCATCCATGAACTAAACTGTGTGAGATTGGTGCTCTGTAAAGCACATGCACAAATGCCTGTAATCTGGCTGCTTTGCACAATTGAAATATTTTTGCCTTAGAAGCTATCTTGTATTCGACAATCATTGGGAATATGAATATACAAATTTAGATTCGAATATACAATAACAATTTTATCATTTTTTTCCACTTGTATAGAAATTTGTAATAAAATTCATAATGCAGTTATAATAAAATATTAATTTTAATTTCAAAGTAAATTAAAATATGAAAATAATCGCACAATATTTATTTATATTTTGGAAAATACAAGGGAAGCTGCACTTTCACAGCTTCAACATGCCACTGTTTTATATTATTAAAAATAAATAAATAAAATTCTATTGACTACTGTATGTTGTTTGTATAAAAATTAAATTTTGGCAATTACTAAATTTAAGACGCACTGTTTTTCCTCTGTATATTTTCAAATATACAGGAAATTAAGAGGAAATTAACATGTGTTTTTGACATGAAAAAGAAAACCAAGAATAAATATTTTTAACAAGATTTGTTTTGTTGTGGACATTTTAAAAATTTTAATTATTTTATGTTATTCAATCAAAAGGAATCTATGAAATTGCTAAAAATTGCTGCTGCCATGTAAAAATTGATAGTTAGCTGGATGGTTAAGAATTAAAAATGAAGTGCTTTTATCCTTCTGCACTAGAGGTTTCTTCACAATATAACAAATAGAACAAAATTCAAATGAAATGAACATGCTGCTTTCTGTTTGAAAATCTGAGTATGTTTGAATAAAATTATTACACAAATTATTAATATAAATAATTTGGATATTCCCTAATTATAAAATGAGTTAAATTATTATTATATTGATGATCATCAGATTTCTTACAATCAATCAGATTTCATCAGATTACACTGAAATTCTCTGAGTTAAAATTTCATCAGCTAAATTAATTAATTAATGATTTGTAAATTTAGATTACAGATAGAACATGTTGCTACCTGTAGATAATTTTAATAAAAGTACATTTGAAATTTTTAAGTCTCAATGTGTAATTAATGTGGCAATAAATAACCACAATAATTAAATATTCTAGTTAAAAAATTTGACTTAATGACAAAAATATTTCTGGAACAGATTATTTTTAGATGACATACTTTACAATACATTGTTTATTCAAGTAAGAATTGCAACTTTAATACCATTCTAGGAAGATCCACATATAATCAAATTCATCAGTTATTAATTAATTTAAGCAGACCAATTCTAACCCAGAGATTTTCAACTTAATTATCATTATATAATTAATTACAATATAAAAATATTTGTTTTTTTTTGTGATAATAATTATTGTAATTAAAAATATCTTTATTTTATTGGATTTATTATTATTAAAAATGTAACTTTTTCAGGTTAATCTCAGATGGCCGACTGAACTGGCTATAAATCCTTTGGATGGTACTCTGCATATTTTAGATGATCATCTTGTTTTAAAATTAACTCCAGACAAAAGATTAAAAGTAATAGCAGGAAAACCTCTACAATGTCCTTCTTCTCATGAAAAATCTGATCAAGCTAATGATGTCTTTTTAGAATCACCTCAAAGTATTGCCTTTGCGCCTAATGGGGATCTTTATATTGCAGAAAGTGATTCTCAATTTGTTAATAGAGTTCGTGTTATTGGAAGTGATGGACGCATCTCAAAATTTGCAGGTGCAGAGATGAAATGTAGTTGTCTGGATATAAATTGCAAATGTTTTGATGAAGATAATTTTCTTGCTGCCACTTCAAAATTGAATACTATTTCTTCCATTACTGTCACACCAGATGGACTTTTGCATATTTGTGATCAGGGAAATTTAAGAATTTGGTCAGTCACATCTTCTTTACCTAAGCCAAATGATTCTCATGAATATGAAATATACTCTCCTGAAACCCAAGAAATATATTCTTTTAATCGTCATGGCCAACATACAACAACTAAAAACATACTAACTGGAAAAATTGTATATACATTTTCTTATAATGTAAATACTAGTTTTGGAAAGCTTAGTACAGTAACAGATGCTGCAGGAAATAAAATATATATACTCCGAGACTATAGTAATCAAGTTAAAACTATAGAAAATACTCGAGGAGGAAAATGTAGGCTTGAAATGACCAGAATGAGAATGTTACAAAGTTTTACAACACCTGATAATTTTAAAACTGTTTTTGAATATCATGGTAGTACAGGTCTTTTGCGAAGCAAAATTGATAGTTCTGGTAAATCATTTCTCTATGGATATGACAAATATGGTCGACTTACACAAGCAGTCACTCCAAGTGGTCACACAATAAAGTTGTCATATAATTTAAGTATTAAAGGAGCTGCAGTAACTGTTACCAGAAATGATAAAACTCCTGTATCTTTGCTTATTAAAGGTTCTGATGTTACAATAAATAAAGGTAAATATAAATTTTTAATATATTTTTCATTTATAAAAAATGATTTAGTGATGATTAGTGTAATAAAGAACTTTTACATTGTTTCTGTTATATCAAACAATATATATATGTAAATAAAAGTAAATTCTTATTACTCTTTAAAATTTTCTTTAAATTATATTTATTTCTTAGCTTAAAAACCACCTACAAATTTTCAATTTGATTAGATTATTATCTTTTAACTTACTACTTTTTTTTTAAGAAAATAAAGTATAAAAGTAAGAATGGTTTTTCTAAATAATATCTTCATTTATATAATAATTCAAAATTTTGAAAAGTATAATTCAAATAAGCACATTGATCACTAAATAGGATTCTAGCTTGAAAATGATTAAAATTCTCATTTATGACATGTTTTAAGTAACTATAATATTACAATAATAAGAAAAATGCTAAAATCAGGAAACGAAAACAAATTTTTAATTTCCTGAATTACTATCTTAAATATGGCACCAAGTCCAAATGGTATTTTTGTTGAACTATAAAATTACATTAATAAAACATAGGAAATGGTTCTGATGTTCATTGTTCCATTAAGAATACGATGTGCAATGTTAATTTAACAAAAAATTTTGGTTTGAATTTGTTTTTATTTTTTAATATTTAATATTATAGTAATATTTGAGGATATCTTACAATTTTTATTAATCTAACAACTGTTTAGCAAAACATCTTTTATTTGTCTTTTAAATTTATTTAAATTATTTATAGGTTCTGCAATAGAAAAAATTACCAAAGATCCTGATAATAGTTTGATAATAACAAAGGAAGATTCTAGGACAATAGAAATGGAAACGGTTCCTAGTCCTGTTTTAGCAGATCAAAGTCCTGTACTTGGTGAAACATTTCCTGTTCCTGCAAAACTTAAAACAACATTAAATGATGAAGTATCTCAAAAGTTTGAGTGGCGTTACTATTTACGGAGGGAAGGCAAAGGTCGTAATCGTCAAATAACACAAGTGGGCAGGAAAATGAAGGTGAGTTTCAATTGCCACATTTCTAAAAACGAAAAGAAAAAAAATAGTCACATTTATTAAGCTTTTATAAAATGCAGCTCTTCTCTTCAGTGATGCAATCAAATCATTCTTATGTGATCTTTTGCTTTCTTTATTATTCTAAAACATTCTATGAAAATTTTGTTTAGAATTTTAATTTTGCCAAGTTTTTCATTTAATATTAATAATGTGTATGTTTGAAACAATTATCCTAATCATTTGTTAGAAAATTTTATTTTGATTCTAATGAAAATATTGATTCTTCATACTACTTTTTAATTCAAATATTGATTTCTGCTCAAGAAATCAATCCCAAGTTAAAAATAGTAAAAGCTATTGGAAAAAATTATTCTAATTTATGCACTGTTAACAATAGATTAGCATTGCAACATTGTAGCATCTTTTAAATTCTGGAGATGATATATAGAAAACTTAACAGTTGTTGACTGTTAATATTTCAACTAACAGTTTTAAAACTACTATGTATTTATGTATTGCATTATATATAGATTAGTACACAATTTAAAATATAATCAAAACTGTACTAAACATATTGACTTTTTCTCTAATAGTATGTGACTATCATTACATATGATTACTTTTATACTTTATTCACATATAAAAAACTTTCTTCGCTTATGAATGAAACACAAATAAATATCAGTATAAAACCACCTGCTCAGAAACTAGATAAAGTTGATAACAACAGCATTCAAAACCAAATCCAGCATACAGAATAATAGAGCTAATGTTTTTGCCCATGTTAAATGGGCATTGTCAGATAAATGATCCCACAGTTGTTAAAACAATGATTGTTATACATTTGTTAAGAGATAGATGAGAGGATAGAAAGTTTACAGTTTGTAGAATGTCTTCCATGTGGGAGTATCAGAATTCCATCCTGACAGGGTTGGCCAACACCACTCTAGCTACTTTTGTCTCTGACACTGACATAGAATACATCTATGTCAGTGTCAGAGGCAAAGGTGGTAAATGAGGTATACACATTATAGGTATGGCATATGAGGTATGCACAATTTTGACTCATTTGTGCATACCTCATATGTAGCTCCACCCAGAAACATCATCTCAGATATTTAGAGCAGGTAGAAATTTACAAACCCACCCAAAAAATATAGCCATTAACTTTTATGATGTTGATTCCTTCTCCACCATGTGGAAGACGATCTACAAACTGTGAACTTTCTATCCTCTTACCTTCCATCCTTCCTCTTTCTTTCTTACATCACCTCCTCTCTTAACACATGTACAGCAATCCCCATTTAAAATGGGCAAAAACATTAGCAATCTTCTAACTTAATTACTGGTGTTAATGAACATACACAATGAACCTTTATGTCCGGTAACATTTAAAATTCGTGAAACGATTTGTTTCATGAATTTTTAATGTTACCAGACATAAGGGTTCATCAAATGTGAGAACATTAGCTCTATTATTTTGTATGCTGGAGTTTGGTTTTGGACACTGTTGTTTTAAATACCAATGTTGTACAAATCTTACAAATAAATTAATGGATTAAATCGCTGCTTATTTCAGGAAACCAAACTTTTTATTAAATGATTTAGAACCTAACAGATTCGAAATCAGATATTTGACTGAAAGCATTTCTTTTGTTTAATAAAAATGAAAAATGTTTTCAGTCAATATCTGATCATCCTCAGCTTAGAATGTGTAATTTAATGACTCAGAAGCTGTTAGGTTCTGAACTATTTAATAAAAAATGTTGACTTCCTGAAATAATCAGTGATTTAATTCATTAATTTTCTTATAGATTCTTGGTACCAAGTTTTGTGAANCGTAGGATATGGTGATGTAGAACTTTATATGGTTGATTCACGTGGTTATATTATACAAAGAGGACAAGAAAAATTTCAGTTTAATGCAGAAGGTCAGTTGCGGTACAGTATGGTTATTTTATGCTGCGGAACGAATTATATGTTTTAACATGTCTTTCTATGGGAAAATGCGTTTTGTATAACAGACTTTTCACTTAATGGACATGCACCTGAAACAGATTAAGTATGTTATACGAGGCACCACTGTATATATTAACAATCTTATCATTTTTTTCACATGTAGTATGGAAATTTGTAATAAGATACATAATGCAGTTATAATAAAATATTAATTTTAATTAACTTAAAGTATGTTAAAATATGAAAATAATCGCACAATATGTATTTATATTTTAGAAAATACAAGGGAAGCAGTGCTTCCACCACTTCCAAAGATGGTATGTCACTGGTTAAGTTATAAATCTACTCGCGGTTTGCATAATGGCAAGGGCAGCCGAATATCTAGCAGGGAGGTGGCTAACAGCCCAGAACTGGTCTTGGATAGAATCCATTGAAAGCATTGTGTTTGTAGCTTACACCATGAGGTTGGTGCTCTGAAAAGCACATGCACGAATGCAATCTGGCTGTTTTACACTATTCAAATATTTTTGTCGTGGCACTGTCCCATATTCGACAATACGGCGCTTCCATTGGGAATATCCATATACAAATTTATATTCGAATATACAATAGCAATCATATTATTTTTTCACATGTATAGAAATTTGTAATAAGACATGTTCAAATATAAATACATATTGTGCGATTATTTTCATGTTTTCGAAAATACAAGGGAAGCGGCACTTCCACCACTTCCAAGGACGGCACGCCACTGGTAGTATTATGTAATGAAATACAATTTAAACTGATTCAATTTGCTCTTATTTATTAATTTAAGCTCTATTAATTTTTGTATTTAGCATCACTATAAGATACTCAATTAATGCAAAATCAAAAGCTTCTGTAATGTTTCAAATTTTTAAACATATGAAATATAAAAATTTTCTCACATTAAGTTTCTGTAGTAACAATTTTTTAATTACTTATAAATTTTGTATTATTACTTGTAGCAAGATTTTTATAATTTTAAATTAGAAATGGTTAAGTGAATTAATCATACTTTTTATATATTATTTATAATTACCAAATAAAAAAATTTTTATTATATAAAGGAAATAAAATTTAACTCACATTATTTTAGATATAAAAAATTAATATATAATGTTTAATGTTCTTTTTTCCAGATAAATGGTGAAACACTGGTAGCTGTGGAATTTGATCGAGAACAGTACAGCGAAACAATTTATGACAAAAATCAAATACCTTTAGTCACAGTTCGTTATGATGAGTTTGGTCATCCAAAACAATGGGAACCCAGTCAAAATTTAACTCCAGTTAAACTAGAATATGATAGATTTGGTCGGTTGGCAAGATGGGAAAGAGGCTACTTGTCAGAAAGATATTCTTTTGATATTCAAGGAAGATTGGCTGAGATTCGATATTCAGATAACAGTGGCATTATGTATCGATATGATGACAGTCCCATTAGTCTGGTAAATATATAAGTATTTTTGTATAATATATTAATAAAAATTCAAATTATAAATACACAATATTTTAAAAATTTTTGACATTTCCTATTATAACAGCAGACATATTTCCAAATTTGAAAAATAATTATAAAACTGTAATGTAAAGAAAGTTACATTTTTAGACAGAGTTAGGCTTCAACTTTCTCCAAATAAATAAGCTATAGAACAATATTTAGATTTATAAAATTTATATTTTATGTATTTCATTGATTTTCGTTTCATATCAAGCAATATAAATTTTGTTTCAACTGCTATATCTTTTATAAATACATACTCATTTGTAAAATGTTTCTTTCTTTATTAAGTATTATAATTAATCTATTGATATTGTTGGTGATAGCTTAAAGATTATAAATATAATAATTTCAATTATAAATTTTTTTTTCTAGCCAACTGAAATTATTCTTCCAAGTGGCAGTCGTTATCTCCTTCAGTATGATACATCAGGTAGTTTGCAAGCTGTGATTACACCTAATGGCCATAAACATGAGATAGCCACTCAGACATCACTTGGATTTTATAAATTACTCTATCTTTCTCCTGGTGTAAAACATCCTTACATTCTTCATTTTAATGACCAAGGGCTTTTATTGGCTAAACTCCATCCAAATAACCAAGGCAGGGTAGTTTATTATTATACAAATAATGGACAACTTACTTCTGTATTCTGTGGAAATGAAAGGACAGATATCAGTTACTATGAACAACATTCTCTTATTAAAACAACAATGAGAAGAGTTCCAGGATTAGAATGCAGAGTTGACTACAGGTATCATGGTTCATTGTTAAAAGAAGAAAGATACCGATATAACAGTAGAAGTGGTTTAGATAGTTTAAAACTTAAATATCAATATGATAGTCGTTTATCAAATGTAGAGTTAGAAATTAATGGAAAAGGAGCAAGTGAAATTAAATTTAAGTATAATGCTGAAACTGGAATTCTTGAGCAAGTACAACAATTTCTTTTTCATAAACCTAAAATTAATAGCATATTTATTCAAGATGACATGCGACAATATTCCAAAACTATTGGCTATGACTCTTATGGAAGGATAGTTGTTTTGGCTATGACTTTATGGAACAAAGAAATATATTCTCTCAGTCTACAATATGATAGCCGTAGTCGAATAAGGAAATCAATAATGAAAATTGGAAAAGAAAATTCTCCAACAGTTACTAATTACAGCTATACAATTGATGGATTCTTGGAAGAAGTTACTGGTACAGATATTTGGCGCTTCATTTATGACATAAATGGAAATATGAAAAGTCTTTGGGAGGGGCAACATCAGATATCATTAAGATATGACGATGGTGATCGTCTCGTAGGATATGGTGATGTAGAACTTTATATGGTTGATTCACGTGGTTATATTATACAAAGAGGACAAGAAAAATTTCAGTTTAATGCAGAAGGTCAGTTGATACATGCATTTGAACTACATCAGTATGAAGTTTACTATTATTATGATGTACAAAAACGACTTATTGCAAGAAAAGATCATAGAGGAAACATAACACAATTCCTATATGCTGACCTTCTTAATCCCTATCAGATCACTCATATTCATTTTCCACAAGTTGGTATTACCACATTATTATTATATGATTCAAATAGTCATTTGATGTACATACAACAAGGAACTACAAAATATTATGTTGCTACTGATCACCTCGGAACACCAGTAGGAATATTTGATACAGATGGGAACATAGTTAAAGAAGTTCAGCGCAGTCCTTTTGGAAAAGTCTTAAGTGACAGTAATGCAGATTTTTATTTACCTTTAGACTTTCAAGGTGGAATTCGTGATCCATTGACTCAGCTGATTCATTTTAATAGTCGAATTTATGATCCACTTGGAGCTCAATGGCTGACTCTTAATTGGGAAGATGTACCAGAACTTCTTAACAAACCATTCAATATGCATCTTTATCGATTCCATAGTAATGATCCAGTTAATATTCCAAATACGAAAACTCAACAATTAACAGGTAAGCATTCTTTTATGGATAACACAAGTGTAAAAGATATTTGCATTTAATATTTATTAGTAATTTAAGATATTTTTCAAAAATAATTTAATCAGTTTTCAAGAAAAAGTTACAAAATTTGTAAAATAAAATTAGGAATATGGAATTTTTTTATAGTGAAAAATATTTCAAAAGAGTCTTTCTTATAAATTTTTTTTGAATAAATGCTCAAGTACAGTGAAATTTGATTAATGCAAGCTCAGTTAATTTGAAGAAAGTGTATTCTGTCTTTTGAGAAAGTAACATATAGTCAATTGATTTTTAGAAATGAGCATTTTGAGGATTTTCTAATTGCACATATTCATTTTATCACAGTTTTAGTGACATTTGAATCTATACAACACAGATGTTAGGTATATTTTATAGAAACATTAAAGAAGCTGAAATTTTATGTGTGGTAAACATCAATTAGTCAGTACAACTTCCACCATATTTAATGTGCTGGAAGTTGTATGGTAAGCATCAATTAGTTATATTTTTATTATTTTTAATTATGGAGCATAAATAAGTTTATTTTTAGCTTAAAAAGTTGAAAAGAAAATAGAGAGAAACTATATTAATGTCAAACACTAAAAATATACAAAAAAAAACTAGTTTAATTTTTGATAGTTTAAACTTTTCTTGATTCTCTTTAGTGTTAAAATTAAAGTTAACTATGATTTCAATAAATGAATGAAATGGCAGTGTTTGTATATGATTTTGTAACTTTATATTAATTGTATCAATTTGTAAATTGTATTCAAATTGCAAATTACTTAAAGATGATTGACTTAAAAAACAATCAAATGCCAAGAATCATTTTTTAATGAAAATACTTTATTCTGTTATATTTTCAGTAGTCTCATTTTTTTCATTTCTTAGTTATACAATTTAAATGAATTCTGATGTCTCTTATTAATTAGATTCAATAAAATCTACATTTGGGTCAAAGCAATAAGAGCTAGTTTAGGAAAAGTGCATATAAAGTTCATTTTTAAAAGTCAGAATAAATATGTGGATGAATTATTCATTTAAATTACAGTAATTTTACTAAAGAAGTTTTGTTGGTTGAGAAACATTACACATCCTGATTTTGGAGTAGGAAAGAAGTTATGGCTTTGATTGATGCATGCTATTTTTCTTGGACATAAAATAATGGTTATTTTTTGTGAAATTTCTTCACAAAAGCATAAATGAATTGTAATTGAAACAACAAAATCATAACGTTCTGTAATAGTATTTAACTAAAACTTCTTATACAGTCAAATAGTTATCGAATGTAATTCAATTACACTAATTTTCTTTGTAATTGTCATGGACAGTATTAATATTAACAAATTTTCATACTAAATTTAAATTATTAATTGTAAAGGTTAGTCATTGTCAAAATAATCGTAATATGGATTGATATGTGAGAAGGAAGATTGCTATTCGGATTTGATATATGGCAATATTCTTTGAGAAAACATCTCAAATGCATGGAGATGTTTTATCAAACATCTCCATGCATGAAACATCACTGTTTTCAATCAGCAAGCTTTAACTTTTCTTGTATAAACTTGTATATAAAAATTGTATAATACATTACATGTGAAATTTGTGCACTATAAATCTACTTTTGTTATTAATAAATGAAAACTAGACTAAAAACATAAATGATATTACATATTAATAAAATTATGTTAGTTACTTGAAACATTCTATTAAAGATAATTAATTTCATATATTTTATCCTTTTAGAACTCAAAGATTGGTTAGCAGTTCTTGGCTTTAACATGGAGAAGGTACCAATTTATCCTAAATTAACAAATGGAAAATATGAAGTGACATCAATGTGGGAAAGTTTGCCTACAATTTCAGGACTCAGCTGCACTGCAAATGTCATGGCTTCAGAATTTTGTCGCTTCAGCACAGTTCCTCAGACAGAAGTTAAAGTTGAAGGCAATTTTCTTCGAAGCATTAATTCACGAATAGCGACACTGCCATCCGTTTTGGGTGATGGCATATTGCTTTCAAAAGTCGAAAACAGAGCTATTGTACATATAGTTAATGAAGCAAGTCCTCTTTTAAGAGATATCATAACGTCTGTTTTTAATAGCACCTTTCTATTGGATCTTCACTTTTCTGTACATGGACAGGATTCGTTTTATTTTGTACAAGAAGACGCGAAGAAAGTTCAGACTGACTGGGAACAACTACAAAGGTTGGGTAATGTATTTAACATAACGATGCATCCTGTAGAGAGCAGTGATAGTCTCAATAACAATGGTCAGATTGACCTTAGACTTCAGAGTACCAGTGTAGCATTAAACATTCGTTATGGAACTACGCTAGAAGAAGAAAGGTGGAGAATAATCCGTTATTCGAGACAGAGAGCAGTGGAAGAAGCATGGCAACAAGAAGTAGAGTTGTTACAAAGTGGCCATAGGGGATCTCACGATTGGACCAAATCCGAAAAAGAAGAGCTTTTAGCAAACAAAATGGTAGCTAAATATCATGGCACAGATATCCACGACATAGATAAATATCCAGAATTAGCAGACGATCCTACAAACATAATGTTTAGAAAAGAGAGTAACAGGAAACGGCGAGGTCGACCGAGGAGACCAAGAATTAGGTGAAGATACGAAGAAAATTATATCAAAAGTGTGAATTATTGATACCTGCCTTACACAAAATATCTCCAATATCACATTTTTAGTGGTAATTGTTATATGTGTAAAGGAACTTTAGTATAATTTGCCAAAGAACAATGGTGCTTTATAAGTGGACATAAAATAACGGTTATTTTTTGTGAAATTTCTTCACAAAAGCATAAATGAATTGTAATTGAAACAAATTGTTTATCAAATTCTGGAATGAATAGTAAATCCATTATTTTCAATGGAATATCAAATTCCAGAAGAACACCAAGTTACCAATGTTTCCATAGTATGTATGTTTGAAAATATTTTGAGAAGAAACACGACTATAATCGTCATTATTGTAAGTTTTAATGAAACGCAACACAACACGTGAACTAGATGAAAGATTGCACAGTATTCTTCAGTTGTGTAACTGTGAAAGAACTTTCAGTATACAATGAATACTGTAGCAATTACAGTTATAACTTTTAAGATGGCATGCACAATCAATGACTGATATTCACATACGGTACAATAGATTTATATTAAATTGTTTAGTGAAATGTTATGTGAAACATTCAAATATGTTTTTGCCAACTGACTGATTACCGACCGAAATATCCCACTGTATAATCGGATCAAAAGTGCAATTCATACTCACTTAAAAACTCTTTTTATTTAAACATATTACTTATTTGCCTACACTTCTCGTTCATTATCATAGAATTTCTTTGGATGGCCTGGCAAGAAGCAGATGTGATTGTGAATTTATCACATAGCCATCACTAATATCGGTCACAAGATATAACTATGCACTCTCGGCATCACCCATAAACGCGGACAACAGATAAATCTCCGACAATTTAAATTAATCACGATTCCAAAATTTGAAAACGTTGAGTTAAAATCCTAAATTGATGCCGAGAAATTTCATTCAAAGTGCCTTACAGTGGGATTATGTTTGTCATATATATGTTTCCATGCTTCACTAAAGATAGTTATATCTATTGTTATATTGTTTCTTGTCAAAGAAATCAAATGTGCCAAACTGGTTTCAACTCTGAATCTTACTGCTTTAATACTTAATCTTTGGCACAGTATATAAAAGTGATTTCCATCCTTCTAATCCAAATTAGTAAATGTTATTTCAAAAATTGAGTTGTACAGTGGCAGTCTCTAAGTAAACTTATATTCTTTCTTCCTTTCCCAGCAAAAAAAAAAAAAAGAGAAAAATAAAAGATAAGTGATTTGTACTTAATATTAATCAAGTAAAATAAACTGTTTGTGGGAGATATATGTTATTAAATCTTAATATTGTAGTTTGTTTTTTTTTATTTTACTTGATAATTGAATATTTGCTTCTTAATAGATTTATGGTCAATTCAATAGGAATATTGCTGCATTTAACAGAAATATGAAGATAAGATAATTAAAAACACATGCAAATTATCCATTACTGATATTAAAACACAAAATCGTAAAAATTTATATTTTATAAATCCCCATTTTAAAGAAATATCCAATCAAAAGTGATAAGCTTGAAGAAAAATCAAACGAGCAATTATATATTGCGACATGGTCACAATATAGGACTGAAATTTTTAATCATATTTTAACTTAAAAAAACAAGTGATTTCCGGTTTAGACCGGAAGTCACTTGTTTTTTTAAGTTAAAATATGGAAAGCTTAAGGAGCTCTTAAGCTTTCCATATTTGGTTACGATTTTCATCTAACTTGAAATTTAAAAGACAAATGGAGTGGGAATATATAGGTCTACAATTTCAAATTGGAGCCCAATAGTGTATAGAAGAGATAAAACGATAATATTGTTGAATACTAGAATATTCTTAATTTAAAGATTTCATCACATAGTGAAAAAATGTAAATTATAACATTTGAAGATAACTTTTACTAATATATAACTAACTTAATTGAGGATAATTCAGGGAAGGATCCATGTGGAGACCCAGGTTTCGGTTGCTAAAAGGAACTTCACTGTTACTTTAAAATAATGTTTGTGTTTTTATAATTACTGTACTCTTCAATTTTGTTATATTTTTCTTTTAAATTCATGTAGTTGATTTTAAGTAAAATGAAGTTTTATTGCTTTAATAATTATCATCTCACAAATTAAAAATTGATCATCAAGATTTGCTACTGGATAAGTCATCGGAATAATTTCGAATGATTTTTTTATTGAAAATTATTATAATTTCTTACGGTTTCGTATAAAATTTTATGTAAACAAAAAATATTTCTTATAATTTTGCTAACTAAATAATTTATTTAATGATTGCAAGTCATTTTTCCTTGGAACATGAGATTAGGGAATTATAGAATATATTAGAACTATTATATTCTAACATAATTACGTTGTTTCTATTTAAAATGATCGATGATATGAAGCAATATTAGTTAACATTAGTTTTCCATACGCAAATTGTTTCTTACAAATTTTACATGGTTCTGACGATCTCAGTAACTAATTCAGCAAAATTTTACAAAATTATTTGGTAAATTTCAATGAATCTCGAGTGATTCTGTCAGATAAATTCAATCGCGAAATTTTGAACCTGCTCAATTAGGGGGAAAATGATAGCACTAGATGATGGAATCCTTGATTTATGTTACTTTTAAGCGTACAATTTCTTACATAAAACGAAATGTTTCAATGTTTTCAGAGTGTACGAATTACTCTCCTTTGTTATGTCACTTTTAGCTTTCAAATTCAAATTTATTGCTGTAAAATTACGATTAGGGGCGGATGGAGGTTTTGCGAAGTCTTGGGAAAAAGTTTTTTTAGCAAGCCCATTATGGATTCAACCAGGGCCACTATAGAACAGCCGAGAGGTGAGGAATGGACGCTATACATTTTAATTAAAAAGAACATATCACCGAATATTTATAGTTTTTTGTTTTGCTTTTTGACTTTTAGCCCTTTGAGTCTTTCTTCAATAGTGAATTTGGCAAAACTCTTAATGGGGTGAACGGGTGGAGAGGGACGGGCCCTGATGTATCTAAGACGAACCGCCCTTGAAATTTCTCGTAGTTTTCGACAGCTCGGATTCGATTTGGGGTTTTCAGAACGATAACCTGACGTTTTATCACTAAGACAAGCGCAGAGAGCGCTCGAAAGTATCGAGCTCAAATTGGAGCAAGTAGACCACCCAAGAATACGCCTGAAAGTTTACATTTTAGTGAGAAAACATTAAAAAACGTTTCAGTAGAACGTGCGTTCTTAGCATAATTGCTTCTTTTACTTTTCTTTATCTTAGACTCTTCATAAACATGAAATTTATTATAGATTTTACAAATAAAAAATAATTAAAAATACATCTTGATTCATACAAACAAAATGAAAGAAAAACAACTCATATCCAAATATCGGAAGTACAATCTCCACCAGGATATCTCATTTCGTGAGCTAAAGCGGGACCATTTGGTTCTTCACCAAAATCGATCAGAAAATTGCAGTTCATAGTAAGTCCTCCAGAGGTATCATCAACATCAATTTGCATCATTTTTGATCCATTTCTGTAATGAAATCATTATTAATTAACATAACAACGGATAATTAATACTAGATCACTTAAAATACTCACTCGATTATGTCGGGATAAAATTGTCTGTCCCAAACACTATACAACGAAGTTGTTACGTATAATCTTTTGCCGTCTAAACTTAATTGCAACATTTGTGGTCCACCATTAATTAGCTTATTTTTTACACGTATTTTTTCAGGTTGCTCCTGAAATGTAGTTTTTAGTTATGCTTAACATAGTCACATAATAGATTGACATTTCTTAGATTTAAAACAAAGATAAACCTACTGTTAATTTTTTATCTTCGATTACAGTTACTGGTCCATTTCTGGTAATGCTACCACCCAAAAATATCTAAAAGTGTGAGATTTTAAGACAATGATAATCAATAAAAAAGAAAATTCATGAATAATTATATTACTTGTCCAACTAAAACTGGTTGTTTTGTATTTGTAATATTGTATTGTCTGATGTCACCATGAAGCCAACAACTGAGGTACAGAAATCGATCGTCCAAAGAGATTAAAATATCCGTTATAAGTCCTAAAATCATTACAGTAATTAAAATAATACTTGAGAAGAAGTAACATAATTAAATCATCTAACCTGGCATCTCTGGTAATGACCATCCTTTTACCTTTTTTGCAGGAATGGTAATAACTTTTTCTGCAGCCCATTCTTTATTCTGTTAGAGTAAAAAATGTAGATGAAATTTAAATTTTTATTCAAATTTATCAATGTAAAGTCACTTTTTAAATTACCTCTTTCTGATAAAATCTGAAAACAGTAGAAGATAAAGCGCAACCCACATAACCTTCAGTCGCATTCGGATTATGTAAAAATCGAATTTCTAATGGCATTAATCCTTCAGAACCGAGGTCTAAAGTCTGAATGGCTTCACGTTTTTTCCAATTCCATACTGTTAATGTTTTTCCATACAAACCTTTACAAATAAGTGACAATATTTAATTAATAGTCGAATTTTTAGATCTATCAAATAATAAATTAAAAAAAAGAATGTTCCGTATGATTCTCTATAACCATGCGACATAAACCAATTTGTATATCAAATTATGGTTATTATTTGAGTTACTTCAATGAAAAAGAGGATTATACGCGAGAAGTAACGATATTTATCATTATTATGCGTACCATTTTTTACATCATCTAGATGAAAACCTTTACGAAAAGCCGATGGGGAACCCCATGAAGAACTGATCATAACATTATGTCTCGGCTGATACCAAAAATCGTAACCAAATTCAACACTGTTGTCTCGATTTTGCCAAGTTCCTTTTACGTTAAATTCGTTGTCCAAAATTATAAATGTTCCTACAAAATAAAGTGTTAACATATCTCATTATTATTTGATAAAATAAATTTTATCATACCTTTAGCGTTAGCTTCGGCATCTCCCATACACGATATCATAATTTCATTGCATTGTAAGCAATGACTGGTGTGAGGTGCGGATGCATCGTATTGATGAAGCTCATCTGGTTCAATAATCTAATTGAAATAAATTAAATATTGATTTTAAAAATCTAACAGAATTTAATTAAACTAAACAAGAAATTAGCCTTGTTAAAATTTTAGAATAGCCTGTAAAAGTAGACCTTATAATCTACTAAGAAATTCAAATTTATTACAAAAATATATTTAAATTACTTTATGAATTTTGGGTTTTAGCGGGTTGGAATCAACGTCTATAATATATATTCTATCACTATTCAGGCAAGGTAGAACTAGATGACTTCGCTTCATTTTTGGTTTGTCGTGGCAACTGCTGCAAGCATTCCATCCAGAATGATGAAGTTCGTCTCCTATATGAGTAGTTTCTAAACGGTGTATAATCTGGATAATAGAACATACATTTAATATTGTCCTTTATAGATAAAAATGCTTACAAATTATGCAAATTTAATTTACTAAAGTATTTAGTAACGATTATTTCATTTATGACCTTCTTTGTTTCCTGAATGCTCTTGCATCACACTTTCCAGAAATAGCCCATTAACTTTTTTTGTTTATCTCCTGAAATGTGGCATTTCACAAGTAATAAAAATCCTAGCTGATATGATGTGAATAATATAACGTTATTAAGAAATTCTGTTATTCAATGTGAATAATATCACATGTAGGCGCGAAAATATTATATGGATTGACTGCACTTCATTTAAGCAACGTATCTGTTGAGAATTGCCAGAAAGTCTTGTGCAAACAGGGGCGCCCGTACAATGGGGCACTTTAGGAACCTGCCTCTTCTTCCTTTCGGTTGCCCATTTTCTAATCCTTAAGGGAGCCCCAAAATCAAGAGAAAGTTTATGACTTCTAGCTTTTTCTACAGATATAAAAGAAACTAAAGAACGACATTTGTCCATTGTCTCATGCAACTTCGTGATATGGTGACCAGAACCATATTCCTTGTTTTCAAGGCAAGTTAGCACCACTTTGTGGGAACGCTGATCCAACGTTAAATCATAGAGTTTGAAGCTTGTTGCATAATGTAAGATGCACTATTTTTACGGCTTGTGTTCCTTTTTTTATAGTCTGAGGGTGCTGCTGTGTGCAATTTATGACTTGCATCAGAAATACAGGGTGGACCAAAAAGAATATACGTATTTCAAACTGATATATTTAATAAACTGTAAGACATACAACTATGGAACTTGGGACACATATTTATGAAACTCTCTAGTTTAGATTACAGGTGTTCAATATGTCCTCCACCAGCGACACGAACGGTCCGGGCGGGAGTTCCGTCCGGGTGTCCGGGAACCGGGGTCCGGGCGTGAGTTCGGTCCGGACTTCATAACTAACCTGCGTCTCAAAACACGCCAAACTGTTGTTTTAGGCAGCTGCAATTCCCGACTGGCACGACTTGTTGATTTTGAAGGGCTGCGTTGGTAAGCAGCTTGAATCCGTGCGACATTTTCTTCAGATACACGAGGTCGGCCAGGACTCTTTCCTTTACATACACAACCTGTGTCAACAAACTGATGGTACCATCTGTGAATGTTCCATCCATTCGGAGGATCAATTTCGTACCTCAACCGGAAACGTCTTTGCACTGTAATCACGGAATTACACTTCGCAAGCTCAAGAATACAAAAGCCTTTGTGCTGTGGCGTAGCCATTTTACAACTGTGAATACGTCATTGTAACCAAGCACAACTGACATCTGGTGACAAACTAGACAATGCACTTGTTCCTCTGATACCCGCAGCACACCGCTACTATCGATAGTTTAATAAATATATCAGTTTGAAATACGTATATTCTTTTTGGTCCACCCTGTATTTTGTTTAAACAAAATATTTTTGTTGCAAGTCGTATGTTGTTGCTGTATGTTGCTGGCATTATACAAGATATAATGAGAAAGTTGTGATTAAATTAATTCCAGTTTAAATGTTTATATTCATTCCAATTTATAACATTTATCATACTTTTATCAACGCAAATAAATTAAAATGAGTATAAATGGCATAGAATACATTATCATAAGGACTGTCTATAAATGATCTTGGGAAAAAGTCTGAAAGGGAAGAAGGGAGTTATGACAAGGACAATGGGGAAGGGAGGGGCTGAACTTCAATGGACGTCCGTTTTATTTCACTAAATTTTATATAATTTTACTTTTTATTATTCATAAAGTGGTAAGGATTTTGGGGAAGGGTTCAGTTTTTGATATTCAAAGAGGGGAGGGGATTACAGAAACTTGAACCAACTGGGACAATGGGAGGGGAGTAAAATTTTCAAGAAAAATGCAAACGTAATTTATGGTTTAAAGTTTAAGAATGCCATAATTTGAGTAATGTGCATTGCTCTCCTAATGTAGATAGGTCTAAGTAATGTTAGTCAGGCCCGGCGTGACCCTTTGCGGGGTCAGAATACACATTCAATCCTATACTTAAATTTCACAATAAGGAATTATTTATTATAAGTACAAAGGATGTTACATATATTTTTGTAAGATGAATATTACATAATTTTTCTTGCTTTTTTCGCCGCAAAATCTTTGATTACGTCATCANTAGGATATAAAATTATATTAATATTAATATAATTATATTTATTGATACTAAGATTTTCTTTTATTAAATCAATGTAGCTTTTTTAAATTTCGATTCTGTAGGATATAAAATTATATTAATATTAATATAATTATATTTATTGATACTAAGATTTTCTTTTATTAAATCAATGTAGCTTTTTTAAATTTCGATTCTGTAGGATATAAAATTATATTAATATTAATATAATTATATTTATTGATACTAAGATTTTCTTTTATTAAATCAATGTAGCTTTTTTAAATTTCGATTCTGTAGGATATAAAATTATATTAATATTAATATAATTATATTTATTGATACTAAGATTTTCTTTTATTAAATCAATGTAGCTTTTTTAAATTTCGATTCTGTAGGATATAAAATTATATTAATATTAATATAATTATATTTATTGATACTAAGATTTTCTTTTATTAAATCAATGTAGCTTTTTTAAATTTCGATTCTGTAGGATATAAAATTATATTAATATTAATATAATTATATTTATTGATACTAAGATTTTCTTTTATTAAATCAATGTAGCTTTTTTAAATTTCGATTCTGTAGGATATAAAATTATATTAATATTAATATAATTATATTTATTGATACTAAGATTTTCTTTTATTAAATCAATGTAGCTTTTTTAAATTTCGATTCTGTAGGATATAAAATTATATTAATATTAATATAATTATATTTATTGATACTAAGATTTTCTTTTATTAAATCAATGTAGCTTTTTTAAATTTCGATTCTGTAGGATATAAAATTATATTAATATTAATATAATTATATTTATTGATACTAAGATTTTCTTTTATTAAATCAATGTAGCTTTTTTAAATTTCGATTCTGTAGGATATAAAATTATATTAATATTAATATAATTATATTTATTGATACTAAGATTTTCTTTTATTAAATCAATGTAGCTTTTTTAAATTTCGATTCTGTAGGATATAAAATTATATTAATATTAATATAATTATATTTATTGATACTAAGATTTTCTTTTATTAAATCAATGTAGCTTTTTTAAATTTCGATTCTGTAGGATATAAAATTATATTAATATTAATATAATTATATTTATTGATACTAAGATTTTCTTTTATTAAATCAATGTAGCTTTTTTAAATTTCGATTCTGTAGGATATAAAATTATATTAATATTAATATAATTATATTTATTGATACTAAGATTTTCTTTTATTAAATCAATGTAGCTTTTTTAAATTTCGATTCTGTAGGATATAAAATTATATTAATATTAATATAATTATATTTATTGATACTAAGATTTTCTTTTATTAAATCAATGTAGCTTTTTTAAATTTCGATTCTGTAGGATATAAAATTATATTAATATTAATATAATTATATTTATTGATACTAAGATTTTCTTTTATTAAATCAATGTAGCTTTTTTAAATTTCGATTCTGTAGGATATAAAATTATATTAATATTAATATAATTATATTTATTGATACTAAGATTTTCTTTTATTAAATCAATGTAGCTTTTTTAAATTTCGATTCTGTAGGATATAAAATTATATTAATATTAATATAATTATATTTATTGATACTAAGATTTTCTTTTATTAAATCAATGTAGCTTTTTTAAATTTCGATTCTGTAGGATATAAAATTATATTAATATTAATATAATTATATTTATTGATACTAAGATTTTCTTTTATTAAATCAATGTAGCTTTTTTAAATTTCGATTCTGTAGGATATAAAATTATATTAATATTAATATAATTATATTTATTGATACTAAGATTTTCTTTTATTAAATCAATGTAGCTTTTTTAAATTTCGATTCTGTAGGATATAAAATTATATTAATATTAATATAATTATATTTATTGATACTAAGATTTTCTTTTATTAAATCAATGTAGCTTTTTTAAATTTCGATTCTGTAGGATATAAAATTATATTAATATTAATATAATTATATTTATTGATACTAAGATTTTCTTTTATTAAATCAATGTAGCTTTTTTAAATTTCGATTCTGTAGAGGAAGTAAAGGTAAAGGAGGTAAAGTCAATCACTTAAGAGGGAAATGTTAGCAAAGGGAAAATTCATTCACTATAGCTATTTGCAAATGTTATTTACCATTAGTAAACAGATCTATATATAAACAGTTAAGAACTATCAATCAAGACCTGGGATTTTGATTGGTATTTCTGACTGTTCAGTGTGTTTAAATTAGGCCCATGCATTCTGCAAGAGTCTAATTTTAACAAAGTAAACAGTTCATTGTCACACCTTTCTCCACACAGGATACATATGTTATATGTAGCCTATTGCAGATGGTCGGTTTAATATCATGACATTTCGTCGTCCTCGTCACAAAGTTCTTCGGGAATGACAACCTCTAGGCAATTTCGATCAGCGATGATCGTACTTTTACTCATACACAAAATGTTATTTTGAAATTAGATAGCACTATTTTGACTGTGGTTACGGTATTAACGTCAGACACAGCTGTAAATAATCAGTAAAATGCATGCTTTCATGCTATGAGAAATTATTAATCGTTTACAAAAATTTTGTCTTACCTCACAATAAATAATATACTTTTCTTATAGTAAAAGTTTACTAAATACAAGAAATTTGTTTTACCGATCTTGTATGTTATAACATTTTGTAAGGTCAGTATAGAACAGTAAACTTTTTAGATATAGGCGGATCGAAATTCTCCCACTTTATCCTATAGATCTCAGCCAGGGTATCTGATTAAGTTTTAAGTTGACTGAATTCCAATAAGTAAAAA